AATTCCAAGAACAATTTATTGTGCTGGTTCTAATGTCGTCTTACATAGTCTTGGTAAGGAAATCCTGTATTAACGGTTTGAGCAATTTAAAGAAATAGTTCACAAAATTAACATCCAATATATAGAAAAGGAAATTTTATCTTTTCTATCAAGATTAGCATCCATTAGTATCAAGAGACTAGAACAGAAGAATATATTACAGAGCTATTCTGTATTCCACACACATGCACAAAAAGTCATACACCAAGGACACTGGTGGCCATGAAACACTCCGTGGGAGATTGGTCACAATTCCTTGAGGAGGAAACACACAACACATGAAAACTGTTACCCATGTTCTGTGTAATTGTGCCCAGTTGGCTTCTCATCCTCCTGCACTTTACAAGATTACAAATGGAATACAAGGACTCCCTTGTTAGGTTTTAATTTCATTCAGTTACTTAATCAGCACAAATATAAATCATTCCTTAGGTAAAGAATACTTGGAGGGAAAGGAATACAACAAGGTGTCACGTTTATTTTGTTGGTTTCCTTCATAGCCACTCTTCTCGTGTCACATCTCTACCTTGTAAGTTTCTACATATAAAGCAAAGCCAAATTTTCTTTTTACAGTTTAATCTAATCTTTGATGTAGCTGTAGGCTTAACACCAAGGAGTAATTACAAAAGAAACATACCTTTTTATGAAATATTAAACTTACAATTTATCTTTTAATATCTGTTTCAAAGGCTATTTGACAGGAATAAATAAATGAGAGCTTCTTGGCAATAAAAGCTGTGATTTATGAAATATTTTATTCATTCATATTCTTAAGTATTTTCTTGAGAATACTGCTAACATCTGGAGCTATGCAGTCTTATCCAAACATTCTGCTCATACTCAATTAGAAAATTATATCAATAATAATGTAAAATAAATTACCTAGCTTCTCTTCCTGGAGCATAGATTTCAATGTTCGTCAGAGCAACTATGTGTACAAACAGCACTGTAGTGTTTTTCATTAAGCCTTAAAGTCAATTAAGCTACGAATTGGAACAATCATTCCTCCTTTGCAAAGTATTGATATTTTTTCTTGGCTGCTTTCAGGCTTTTTCACTACTCACGGAGAGATTTATGTTTGACAATTTCTTTCTGATTAAAATGAATCATAACTCTAGAATTCTAATTTCCCCTTTTCCAAGCAAGAAATTATCAAACAGTTTTAAATTGATATTGAACGTCATCATGCATGAACAACATTCATTTTTGAGATATCAAGTGTAAAGCTGTACTGATCTCTCTTTTTATCTGCTCCTTCCACATACTTTCTCTTCCTTTTTTCCTATGTATATAAAACATTAGATTATACCAATATAATCAACTATACCTCTCTGTAAAGATTCTATTTGACAGACTAGCTAGATCATTCACATTAGAACTTGTCACAACACTTTATATATGGCAATTATCCTCTATTTGCAATATTAGCAAAAAAACTACTGTAATTTATAAAGAAAGTAACTGGAACACTACAGGCTGCAAACAAATGTCAGTTATCTGAAGTAATTACCAAGTTTGTACAGATAATCTCTACTCAGATGGCTCAAACTCTTTATAAAACAACTCTTCAGACAAATTGTTAAAAACAAAGTTTTCTAGATTTGTCTCCAACAGCAAATTAAAATCAGTTTGAATTTGTTTTTTAAACATAACGGCACCTAATCTGAACAAAAAAACTTATTTTCTTCCGTTAATCCTCCTGTTTTCTCTAAATCTTAGCAAGCCAATTTTTCCAAGCCATTTAGCTGTTCCATTTCCTCTTTAGAAACTTGATTTTCATCTTTCC